TTCATATGTAACAGTTAGTCTGTGATCCCGACTGGCGGCTGTTGCAGGTATGTGAGGGAGGATGTTTCTGACAAGCGTGGAGTTTTTTTCTTTTGTGAATGGGATGCAAATGGTAGAGCTGTAAAAAAATTAGTAGCAGTGCTAGCTGCTAATCATAGCTAGGAGAACGAAAGACCTGAGTGGAAAATAACGAATTTGTGCTGTTAATGATGAAGTGCAAGATTACGTGTTTCATTCTGTCAAAACAACATCAGGGTAGCAGTATGGGGTTTGGTTAGAAATTAAGGAGGGGAAGCAAAAAATCTTGCATGATGTTGGTACCTCAGCCATGGCAGTGTTGGAAACTTCTAAAAGAAAATGGAAACCAAAGTATCATGTTTTCTTTTCCAAAAGGTCTAGTCTTGGCTCTGCTTGGCGTGCTGAAAGAAGTCAAATGTACCAAATCCTCTTAAAACGAATAAACAATGCACCACCACCACCGAAAAAAAAAAACCAACCACCCCACAAAGAAAAACCAAACAAAAAAACCACCACCAAACAAAATAACCCAAGTTAAGTGCTATGTCTGGAGCAAATGCAAAAAAAAATGTGCAGTCAAGCTGTGATCACTGATATTATCCTGTTTGTAAAACCCGCTGTACCTTGTGGCCCCTGAAAAATCCAAAATACATGGGAAAGTGCGGAAATTAAAATGGAGCACAACAGGGCATGCCAAGTCTGTTGCTCCCCACACAGCATTAATTCTGTGGGCCAAGCGGTGGCTGTGAACATCTCTTGACCATCAGCATGTGCATTTTGATGACATACATTTGTGGGAAGTGTGTAAGTCTGTCCTGCTACCATCTCTCCAGCCTGTCTGAAAAATGAGGGCGGCTTCGATGCAGTATTAGCCAACTTTGAGAGGTCACTCTTTTAAATGCTGATAATGTGCCGCGTAAAACCTGAAAAATTCCATAAAATAAATGCATAATTGTTTCACCATTTGTCTTCATTTGTTGTTTAAGCAAGCAAGGTTTGTGGCTCACGGGAAGGCACCTGTAGCGGCGAGATCGAGCAGATTACTGCATATTCAGATGAACTGTGTCTATTATGCGTAGCGGTCCCTTGACCAGAGTTGGGATGGGGTTTTTTTCACCTTAAGTCCAATCAATCCTACGCTGGTGGCTTTTCATTAGCTGCTCCTGCTCTCGCAGTAATGATCGGGATGCAGAGCCTGGCGGCAGTCTGTAACTTCTCCCGGTGCCCTGAAGCTCAACAACATAAGCTGATTGACTCAGTTAGGGCCCCAGTCTCTAACAGCAAATGCAATCAATAAATCTTTGTTGGTAAATAATTGCTATTGAACAGAGTTTTAATATAAATTTATGAGTGGTGTTTTATCACAGCTTGAGGCTACAGCAAGCCACTGAGTGATGGATTTCAGATAACACTTACATTCATTACATTAACTTTGTAAGTTATTTAAAGCTTGTACACTTAACATTGCTTTTGGCTTGCAATGACCTCCTGGGACTAGACGTAGCATACACATTACTAATAAAGAGCTCGCGGAACGTACAGACGGTCCTCCTCTTGCTTTGTACGGTGACGCAGTTCCCCGAGCAAAACCCGGGAAGTGAAGTTCGTGCGCTCCGGTTGAAGCCTTTTTCCTGGGGCTCGTTAAAAGTACAGCTAGCGCAGTCTGGTGGGAGAAGCCTTCCTCCGTTAGGCGCAGAATTGCAATTTTGGAGGGAAGGTGGTAAAAAATTGAATTTGAAGTGTGAAATTCTTCTCGGTTTGTGAGCAAATTGGAGGTGTTAAATTCTTCGTGTTGAATCTGGAGGCTTTGGGTCAGCTGCGCCAAACTGCTGGGCTGAAGTTGCAGGTGAAAGGACTAACAAATGAAAGATTTCATACAAATTGGGAGAAATGATGTTAATTAATAATAATCTGAGGCAGAGATTATTTCAACAACAACAACAAAAAAATCAGTATTTTGAAGTACAAGTTGATCTACTTAGTGCCTTACTGCATAGCTTGGAGACTTAAATGTGATTTTTCTGATGTGCTGTGTGTACGCGGGGGCCTGTTTGGCCATGACTGGAGACGTGCCCAAGCTACCTCTAAATTGCCTTGGAGGTACCAAAGGTCAGTGGGAACCCGTGTATCTTGTTTCCTAGGCAGAGTATCTGATGTGACTTAAATGTAGACATAATGTGACTGAAGTGAAGGGCTTTTTCTTTTTTTTTAAGTAACATTTCTTGTCATATCTGGGCCATTTATTTTTTTTTAAGTTTAGTTAATGTTAAAGTGCATTTATAACTGATCTAAACTGCGATACTAACAGCTTTTCTCCAGACCATTCTATATAATTGCCACAAAGTGGTGGTCTCTGGCCTTGGGGGAAAATTCGTGGTTTGTATGGGCTTCTCTGCTTCATAACACTTTAAGTTAGCTCCTTGTATTCAGAGCAGCTTCCTCTGCAGGTATCGGAAGATTTTTTAATTCTCAAATAATACCAAAATCTACTCTTTTTGCCAAGGTAGTGCCTGAAGAAAACAGATTGGGAAGTCTGGTTTGTTAGTTAGGCATGAATGGGTAGATGATACATATTTAATGCTGAGTATTTTTTCAACATGAAAGCACAGAATTCCACTTCAAAAGCGAAGTTAAATCCTCTTTTGATCGTTTTCTTCCTTTAGATTCAGCAATAGAATTTCAAAATTCACACCTGTGTAATAAAAATCATGATAGTAGTAGGTTTTTACTGTTTTTTGAGTTTATAATTAGCATGAATTGAAAGTTACGTAAGTAATGACACATTTTCTGTATAGCAAAGGGACAGTTAAAAAGGTGTGAAATAGGTATATTTTACTTTCTTCAAAACTTAAAAAAAAGGCAAGGGGAGGGGGAGGGGGGAGGAGGAAATCACCATTGTGACCCTTACAGCTTTTTCCCCATTAAAAGGTCTGAAGAACAAACCAGTGCAGGGAAACAGTAATTTTTGATCCCCACAGCACAGCGATAACTAGAATTGGGTCCCCCTAAACGCAAGCGAACGTGCTGCAGGTAAGGTGTGAAAGACTGGAAAGGTGAAGCAACGGATCACCTGCTATAGACAAACATACAAGTCAAAGGCAGAAATAAGCTTTCATTTTTTTTAACAGAAGAAAACAATGTCTCTAACCACTGGCAGACGATAATTGGGATGTGCGACTCACACTCACAGAAGCTTTTCTAAGAAAGCGTTTCAGAAACCCCATTCTCTCTTGTAAAAGTGGAGTTGTAGCAAGAAACAGAACAAAAAAAAAGGAGAAATCTGACCCCCAGATGGTCAGAAAGTTCAGAGTTTGTACCACTGCGTAATTCAGTCATCCGACACAAGCTTTCCATTACGGTCCCGTCCACAGATTGCTTTGAAGTGCAGAGGGTTGTTCTCGGAAGTTTTACTCAAAGTGTGTGTCCAGGAACAGGTGATTGTGAACTTGGCTTTTCCACTGGGATTGTCTCTGGTTGCAAAAGGAGAGTCGTGGGTTCATGTGAAGCGTGGGGCTTCAGCCGAAAGCTATAACTTCTGGGACTGAGAGAGAAAAAAAAAGTTGCCTAGCTCTGGAGGACCTCTACTTATGCAGAACTGCCCCTTGTCCCCTCGTGGCTTTGGGACTGGACCTGCAGAGAGGTTGCTCTGTGAAGCTCCAGGTCTAATGGGAAAACAGATACCATAACTTGCTTTCGAGGTTTTAACCTGCTTTAACAAAGACAACTCCATAGGAGTTGGAAGCACCATGCTTGATAGTGCCATTTTCTATGTTCTGTTTTCCCATTTTTTAAGTTCCGTGGAAAATGAGAGTGGAAAAACTCATGGGGATTGGAGATCTGAAGTTTGTATTGGTTTAGATTCCTGGTTCTGATTTAATGAAATGAATTTAAGTGTCTGCTTTTATCTGTACTCAGTCTGTGGAACTAGTGGGTCCCTGTCGCCACCAGGACATTTCAGTAAGACTTTCAATAACCAAAGTACTGTATGAATTCATTAGGAACTGGCTTCTGACTTGGTTTTGGGGATGAAAATTTCTTAGAGGAGTGCATTGCTGAAGCATGGCTTGATTTACCACCTTCAGTGCACTACAGCATGTTATATTTTGCTTTTCTAAGTGACTTTCTATTCTTGAGCTGAGAACAAGTTAATACGCGGTAGTAGTGCACGTCCATTTAAACACCATGATGGCTTTTTGTCTCAGCTGTTGATTGTTAAGCATTCATCACTGATGTTTAGGTTTAATACAATTTGTGGAAAGGTGAGTCACCTTGTCCACCTCCTTTCCTCTCTGATCACACCTCTTTCATTAAACTACAGAATTTATTGGAAAAACTTTGTATTTACCCTGTTACCATTTTTGCTGCTCTTGCCTGGAATTGGTGTCTCTCTTGCTGGAGTGAATAGCTGGGAGGATTTCCATTGCAGTGTCACCTTACTGAAAAGGGAATAAATGTATGCTTTTCTTTCTTTGTGGAGAGGCTGAGTCTGGACGGCAAGGAATCCCCAGGAACATGCGGAAGGGAGCACAAGCCACAGAGTAGGATCCTCATTCTCGCTCAACCTCGGGTTTATCATTTATTTTAGAGGGCTAGGAAATGCAACAAGTGTGGTGTCTTATCAACTAGGAGCGTGTATGGGTAACCTTACTCTGTGTCACATTAAAATGTACTTTCCTGAGGCATGGAATTCAGTGCCAAAGGGTTTTCACTGACCTGTTGGACAAAGCCAGTACTGATACAGTGTCCTCTGTTTACGTGACTTGGTTTAGGAAAGCCGCACTGAGAGCTTTTCCTCCTACATTGCAAGCACTGAAGCTGCTGGTGGAGAAAACATGCATCGTGGGAGAAGCGAGGGAAAAGAGTAACTTGCAGGAGAAAGCGTATCTAAAAGTGTTGGCAATTGTATTTATCTCTTTCTGTGTGTTAAATAGTTGTACCTTGGAAAAAGTGTGTTTAATTTTTTTTCTTTTTTCCTCTAACAGGGTATGCTGCTAAAGCGAAGTGGCAAGTCCTTGAATAAAGAGTGGAAGAAGAAATACGTCACGTTATGCGACAACGGTGTGCTGACCTACCATCCTAGTTTACATGTAAGTACACTGTGCTCTCCGTACGTTCACCACCATCAGGCCCTGATAAAGCAGTGTTAGCGAGTTCATCCTCACGTGTTTTTGTTGAGGCCTCTTTGGTGGAGAAACTGCTTTCTCTCTCTTCATTCCCTGCCCTCTCAAAAAGGCATAATCTGAAATATAATTCCGCGGTGCAAGTCTGTGAGTACAGTCAAGTTCCTTTGAATCCCCTGGAACAGGGCTTCCCTTGCATCCCAAGAGGCAGCTGAAATGGGATAAGCCTTTATTTTGTGCTGATGTTTTTATGGACTGGCTGTCGATCCCAGGATTGAAAAACAGAAGCATTTTATAAGAAAAAGCATCCTAGATGTGGTAAAGGGTGAGGAAAGTTTCTGGTATTTATCAGTGTGCAGTGGTGATGGTTTATTCAGAAGTCATTCTCAGCAGCAGCCTTCTGAAAATGGCATAGCTATTAAAATATGCGCTGTAAAACATTTTCATGTAAAGGCATCTACGCTGTCTCTGCGCAAGGATCCTGTCTGTCCCTCTCAGTGTGTATAGTGCAATCCCTAGGTGTGGTTTTGGGGGTGCAAGGAGCGCAGTGATCTGACTCAGAACTACCCCATCCCAGAGGTCATAAAGCTAAGATTTGTCAGAGCTCGTTCCATGCCAGAGCAGTTCAAAAGACAGAGCCATTGTGGAGCCTCCGCATCTTGAAACTCCCAGGAGATTCCCAGCTCCTTCACTTCCTGTGTAGTATAGGCAAGAATAAAACACAGAAAACATGGTATGAACCTCACCGAGGTCTTCAGAATCATCTCAGGTCTGGTATTTTATCATCATATCCCATATGAAAATCAGAGGGTGGACAGCTGTAACATTTTTTAGGGCCAGTTCTTTCTAAACCTTTTGGTGTCATTTTGAGCTCCTGGGCAGTTTTTCATTAAGGATTGAAGACAGAGGTTTCGAACAGCTGTATTTCTGTGGGTGTGTGGTGAGGCTCTTAGACCTGCACATGGATCTGGCAGGAGACTTCTGTTTTAGATGGGTGATATATCGGGAGCCCTACTGATACTGTGCTGGCACCAACTTGCCGTTCCCTGTCTGCTGAGTATTACCATTTGCTCTGGCTTGGCACGAGATTTCATAGTCTCAGATTCTGCCATAATAATGGTTTGCTGTAGTTTCTGATGTTATGTCTGTGTCTCTTAAAAATTACTGAAGTTACATGACAACTAGCTTCAAGGCATTGCTGCTTTCCACCAGAAATCTTGCCCCTCAGCCCTTGTGTTCTAGAGCAACGTTTTGTCCAGTTTTTCACTGTTCCCTTGTGTGACACTGGACAAGTCTGTCTGGCTTCTTTGGCCATTCTTTAAATTTGGGGAATTCTGCTGTGAAGTAGTCCTGAAATACCTAATTTGTGTATCAGAATTGCTCACAGAAGGGAAGCATGGATACTGCATGCCTTGGAGCTGCCCCCATGGAGCTCCACGTGAATTTCCTTTGGATTGTGTTGGCCAACACTGGGTCAACAAGCAAGGAGGAGGCAAGCTGCCATTGTCCGCACCCACGTCCCTTCCTCGCTTTGTAGAAGGGCTCTATTGTTCCTGGCGGTTGCTGTGCACGTGTGTTTCATTGCCTCTTGCAGACAATAGAGTACTTCTTCTCTGTGGGCTTCCCTGGAGCTGCTTAGTCTCCCCCAGAGTGAGAATCCATTGAGATTAGAGGTAATTACTTTGAGATTAGAGGGAAATCCACTGGAGATTAGAGAGAATCCATTTAAAGAAGAAGTAATTACTAGCCTATTTCCGTTTGCTCAGCCCTCCTTGCGTAGATCAGAGGGGTTTGTAGCATACTACTTTTCCCTTTGCTGTACGTGGGTGGGTGGTGGTGAGGGACCATGCTCGGCTCCTGGCTGACAAGCAGCTACTGGGCAAAACGTCGTACTCATTCAGGGGCTTCTTTACTGAATCCACTCTCTAGGAGTATCTAGGGTTCTGCTAATTCGTGTTAAAATCTTGCTACAGTGTGATTTCTGTTACAAATTATGCTGGTTTGATGCCTTATTTCTATTACCCTCAGCCTTCAAAGAGTCACTGCACTACTTCTGCAGTACGTTCCCATACTATCAATGGAGTATTCATTGTCTGTTAGCCATTTGTTAATATATCCTGCGGAGCGTTCTTCAGCCATCAGGCGACAGCATGTGAGTAGTATCTTCTCTGCCCAGTGCAAACCATAGTGGGAGGACGAGGCAGAACCAGATACTGAAAGTCAGTTGCACTCCCAGTACAGTTTGTACAAAACTTTGTAGGCAAGAAAGTCAGAATTTCTTCCTGGGTATTGGCAAGTGAATGAGGTTTCCCCCAAACAGGTCTCTGGTAAGGTGTTTCTGGTTAGGTTTTGCGAATTTTTTGTTTCTCTCTGATTGCTTGTTGCTTTTTTCACAGCAAGCCAAAGAAACTGATGACTTTTTAATACTGTGCTTGCATTGCTGTTTGGGATAATTTATTAACATTGCTTTGAAAAATAAGGACCTTATTCCTACCAACCTTCCCGTTAAACAGCATTGAAGGAAAGAACTTTTGTTAACCATCAAAAGTCAGGTTCCTAAACTCATCAAAAGCCTGGCTCTAACCTGATCTGTTAGTTAGAGTTGGGTCATGTCAAGTGTGCAGGTCATTCTGGTCACACAAAATTTTGCAGTTGTAATTCTGTGAAGCGAAAAGCGGGCTGGGCTCTAGTGGTGGAAGAAGTAGTAAATTTAGAAGATAATTTGGTCTTTCCAGACTGTGATTTGAGTCAGAACATACCACCTGCATTGGAAGAAACTATTATAATATTTAATGGCTGATAGTGAGTACTGTATTCAATATTGCGTGAGATTTGGCCAGAAGTGGATCGGTTGTCTCTGTCAGATGCATTCAGCGGCAGCTCAGGCACGAAGGCAGTGTTTTTAACAGAGAGAATGTGTCCGTGTTGCAGAAATCAGTACCGTCAGCCTCCTTGAAAGGATTGGCTACAAAATTAAAGGTTTTGGGGTGGAGAGTGAGAAAATCAAATTAGTAGCTTTCTTAGAGAGGAGGTGTACCTGGGAGGGTCAGGCCTGTTTGGCAGGGCAGCATGTTGAAATGAGTGCTGTATTGTGCCAGCTAAATGAGTAACTAGTAATGCCACCAGGCTGAGGTTTGACACAATAGCTAAATTCATATTCTTTCTTTTCAAGAAAGTGGGGATAGAGAAAAATGAGGAAAAAAAAATATGTACATAAGCACCCTACTGCTTTCTGACTTGGTCATGTCAGTTTTTTTCAAGAGCCTCAAACCTTTCCATCCCTTGGGATGCTGAGGAGCTATGCCAATAGAAAATGGTGGGGATAATGAGAGAGAACTTTGACCTGCAGGCTTCAAAGTTCACCATAGCTACCTATTCATCTTACGCTTCTGGAGTATAGCCGTTGAGTGGATGACTAAAATTCTGGCTGACAAATTCAGTGTCAGCCTCCCCAGAGGGCCCCGGGGGAATTTGTCTAGGCATCTCTTGGCTTTTAATGGCAGAATGCCATGTGCGAGGGCTCCCGAAATGTATTCACCAGGATACCTGCTGGGCAGCCTTCATGCCTCTTCTTTATCTAAGCCTCGTCTCGATGAATAGCTGATGATGTTTCACCACTGTCTGTCTGCCAGAGGGTTGCCATCGTGCCACAGGTCAGAAGATGACAAAGCTTTAGCTGTGGATGTCCGTTTTCTGCTCTTTTATCCCCATCATCATCACTGCCCCTCATTTATGAAAAGCAGGGGGGGAGGGGGTGGGAAATGCTGAAATCAGCTTTTTTAGGGAAGGACACTTTTTCCCCCTTTTATACTTAATCTGTTCTAGATTTGATTTTGAATAAAAGCACAGTGCTGTGGCACCTTATGGGGGAAGAACAGCTTCTTAAATACATGAGAAGGAGGGTCTGATGCCCATCCAGAACACACATGGTGTGTAAATCCCATGTACCTACACAGCAGGGTTGATTTGTGCTTGCTGAGGTCTGTATTGCGGTAATGCCACTCTTTAATCTTGCTCCTGTCCTCGCTGATCTGATTTGATAACCCGCGTTGAGGTGTGTAGGGCTGTAGCAGTGATTGGAGGGGGGGAACCTATCTTCAGCTCCTTGAGAAGTGCATGGATTCACCGGGTCCACTCAATTCATCGAACAGTAGCCACGGGTTCTAAGCCCTTCCTTAAAAATAGTGCTGACTACGTAGCAGCCTGTGTGAGCTAGCTCAAAGGGAGCATTAGCAATGTTGTTCTGTCCTCAAATAAAGTGAATGTATTTTTTTTTTTTTTTAAAGCAAAATTTCAGCCTGGTAAGGAGTCATATCCCACAGTAGGCTAAACTTTGAATTTCAAGAATATATTATATGGACACATCTTCTTGGAAGATGATACCAAGCAGACCCCCATTCATGGACCTGTAAAATTCTTTGAGACTTGGGGTGGGGGACTGGGCTTTCAGTTGAGCTTTTTTGCTTGGCCATTCCCTCCAGGAAAGGCAGACTTGGTGAGAAATAGGAGACTGTAGAAAATGTCCTCTGTGTTGGTAGCTGGAAGTGTTGCAGACCCAGGCGCTTTTCTCAGGTCCCATAATACGCAGCATTTTTCTCAGAGCTGCAGTTGAAATTTTTTGACAATTATCAGTGCTTACTATTTCCCTGAATAATTTGCAAATGGAAAGCGTGCTCTCCTCGATTTTTTAAGCGATCGCCGTGCTAGCTGGGCTGCGCGGCGTCTTCGTGCGTGGCCTGTCGGGAGCAGCGCTCGCCTTCGCGGTTATGAATAACCGCCTACAGACATCGTTTCGGTTCAGCCTTATTTTCAGGGTTGCATTACCTCAGGCTGTTTAGTAGCTCCGAAGTGTGTTGGTTGTGTTGCTTTAATAGAAATATTCATGCCCTTATGTATTTCGAAAATACCATCATGTATGCTTTCCCCCCCCCCCCCGTTTTTGCTTGAAAGGAGTGAAAAGCTGGATA